ATACCTTACTTCATAAGGCCTATGACGTACTGATGATCGGTAGCCACCGTGAAACAGCTGTCTGCGTCTGGCCTGTTGCACTCTTAGGGAGCTGCTCATGTATTATATGTGGTATGTGTCCTCTGACACAGCGTTCGTTGTCTCCAGTAGCAAGCTGGCGGGCGGACAGAATGGGACCGAGTGAGATCCTAGCCACAACAGTGAGAGTCAAACGCCCGCGTTAGGATTGCGGGATTCGGTTCTGACGCCAAAAAGTAATGACCTGGAAATTTACAACTGCGTCCTGTACCGTGTTATTCATGAAATTATCACCTTAATTATTCTCTGATGTTCAAATGCCAAAATCTCATAGAGAACTCTGGAGATCTCACTGTAGAGCGAACCCCTCGCAGCTGTGTCAGCCAGCGGCGGAATATCGGCGACGCATGTATCTGGTCTTTTCGTCAGTATCTATGTCTGGATTACGACATAATATTGTATATACAGTAGGTGGGCTAACTCATAAAATGTCAAATGAAATTTCGAAATGTGTTCTCGATTCGAAAGGATTAATTCAGTAAGGTAATAAACATTATCTGTCGGCAGTATACATTTATAATAATTTCGTTACCTCAGAATGCCGACTTACGAAAAATATTCCCTCCGACTGTAAGCATAAAACTTACTCTACAGAAAATGACTACCTAACTTGCATGAGTCTTTCTCTTTGATTTTCGATGCCCATAAACGATCAATTATGCTTCATGGAAAACAGGCATAAATGTATTCATTTTTCGCTCAATTGGTAGAAAATTACATCTTTCTTCATTTAAAGCCTCAAAGGAAGTTTAGAATTCGGTGATAAAAAGTTTACAGTTGAGAGACTGTTTAAAATCGCGAAATGGCCGCTAATAATACGTCATGGCTCTGCAGGTACTAATGGGGTTTTTAAGTTAACAATATGGATCATATCCAATGCTATATTTTATGAACCGCAGATGGTCTTCTCTTAATACTGTAGAGGAATGTGTGGTTTTCCGTACGCGGAAAATACATAGCTTGTAGATTTTAAACCCGTTAATGTAAGCGTGATGGCAGAGGGGGTTCAATGCCATTGCGGAATTGGAAATGTTTTTGAAAACCAAATAAATCCTTTAGTTCGAATATAAAATTTGTAAAAGACATGAAACCATACCATCAAATGAAATGGACATCCTAAACAATGATCAGCAACGAATATGCCTTTCGTGCATAAGAAAACGTTCTCCAAATGTTACCATTTCAACGAGCGCTCTGAAAAGGTATTTCATTGTCGGATGTCGGCGTACTTTGAATTTTTGCACCGTAAAGCCCAGATAAAATTTAACAATGTTGATCGGCTTGTGAGTCTGCTTAAACGTACTGGTACGTTACTAATGAAAACTTAAGAATATGCATATTGCCATTATTTCGTCAATTTTCGCAATCCCTCTCAATTCTAAGCTACATTCTGCGATTATCAATGCATTGTGGAATGGTCGTGTAAACACTGGTATCTTGGTGCAACTGCTCACGCTTTGCTCGTCCCATTTTAACTTATGTAGTTGCAGACACTAGACTACACGAAACATAACGCCCCATATATCGAAAACGGTGAACACCTAATAGGTAGTAGTCTGTCCTCTGACAGCAAATATGATTTTCCAAACAGAAAAAAAATTCTGTCCATGTAATCAAAGGATTGCGTGTATGCGTTATTACTGCACTTAACAGCGCAAAATCAGAAAGCCCTGCTAATCTGACATCTATGAATCAGAAAGCCGTCCGATAAACTACAAATCATTCATATTGGAAAAATGATCCCACGGTTAGCATAGGAAAGAAATCGATGTATAAGTGACCCATATTCTGTTCTGGAAAACTCTCGAGGGTAACTGTATCGTCTCTCGAAAAACCTCCATCGGACGCGCAACCGAAATGTAGGACAAGTACTCACATAGGAAATTTTCCGAATAAATCTAAAAGCCTATCATGGCTGAATCATATGAGCATTTCGTTCGTTTAAATTACGTCCGAACATTATCTGCAAAAGTAGATAACGTCATTATGAAGACGCTGGTTGAGCGAGCTAAATGCGCAACATTCAATACGTCCAAAAATTGTCACATCGGTGTGCGTCATCAGGTCTAATGTTGCAGGCTAGAATTGCAAGTTTACTGACAGGTAATCTGCGTTGGCTGGCTTCTAACTCTGGCATTGAGCGCGTAAGTGCGTTCTTGGGACTTCTCCTGGGGTCACACCGCTGTTTGCATGAGCATAAATACTGATGTATACCAAATTCTGCCGTAAAACACAATGGTCATTCCCGTGTTCGTCTGGTTGCTGTCAGCATGCGTGCAGGGATCATGGGGCTGCCAAGGGCAGCAGAATTCAGCAGACAGCGCTGTTGCAAGTAAGTTACACTCATGTTCCAAGCAAAGTCTTTTCCAACATTATGTTATCTATATTGTGTGAGGATTATATATGTGTCAAATTCGATTTCATGAATGATTCGTCTTCGAAGAA